AGCGGTGCTGTGTGGCTCATTGCTGCTGTGGTGGAGTGCTTTTGTCTCCGGTGGTAATCCGCTCGCTCTCAATGCCCCAAACCCTGGTATACGGTTTCAAAACGAGGCTGGATTATCACCACTTTTGAGAGTGAAAAAATATCAGTAATGCCCAGCAGCCTGGTCTTTTGTTCGGAGTACATTCTTTTGTTACAGGGCCCTGTTTCCTTTGTCCGAGTTCAGAGACCCCGGCCACCCATATTAACCATCCCCAAGTCCCCGGCAAGAAGTGGTTAAGAGTAGGACCAATTTCCACTTATGCATAGAATTGCCAATCTATGTGCTTGTAAATTTGCCAGGACAGATGTCATTTGTAAGCCCAGCTCAAGTACAGTAAAGTTAGAACATCACACTGAACATCTACAACAAAACTGTGCATAGGGGGTGGTGGTGTTGGTAAGAGTAAAATCACATCCATGTGAAAAAGAAATATCAAACCGCTTCAATTTATTTATTTTTTCTAATCTGTAGATTCAACTTCCCAGCAATGATTCCTCTTTGGGTAAGAACAGTTTGTAATCTTGCCATTCATATTGGCCTTGTGCTCAAGTCTACCATCAGTAGTAAACAGTGCCAGTCATCACTGTTATGAGAGAGGTTTTATATACTTACTTGTACATACACGCAAATATTTTGCAGTTACTGTCAATGGTTATGTTGTTTTAACTTATACGTGTACGCATACATTTAGTAATCCAGTACTCTTACCAATTGCTGTAGCATCCCAAATAACAGCCTTCAGTGGAAACTCTGTACCATAGATAATCTTACTTGGCAGAATGTTAACACAATCATGCATTTTAAATGCATAAACCACAAAAAGTTAAATAGTGATGATGTGTACATGTATGAACAATCCTTACTGTGTGCACTTGTTACACTTGCAAGTCCACAGTCTGATGTGACATGCTCACTTTAACTTGATGTTTTCAAAATATTTGTTGTTGGTCATTCTTCTGGTAATGGTGCTCACTGTGCTCTAGTAAAAGCTATCAGTGACAGTGTCAAACATAATTGTCATGGTAGGTCACCTCCCTAGTAATGATCTCTGTATGCTAGTGTCCATGTTCAGTTTGTGTATGGATCTCAGATTATTCCTAGTATGTTTGTTCTTTGACATCCTTTTAGATGTTTCCTGTAGCTGCTGTATGTGGTAATACATATGTGATGAAACCATCTGAGCGTGATCCAGGAGCATGTATGATGCTAGTTGAGATGGCTAAAGAGGCTGGACTACCAGATGGTGTAGTTAATGTCATCCACGGTCAACATGATGGTAAGTTCCTTTTTTGTTAGACAAGTTATGTGAAAGTTTTTGTGATCACTGAGAAGAAACAATTGAGTTCTTTGTATGAAGCATACATACTGGTATTGTAGCTGGTAAGACTTTGTTAAAGTTTATGTATAACTGGTACGCAGGCTCAGGCTCATAGTGCTGCGCACGAATTGTGTAGGGAGTTGGTACCTGGCATGGGTATATAAGCCCGTGGCTCACACGCTGTCGTCCTGTTCTGTTGCTGCACTCTGTTTAGTCGCAAACTTGTGTGCGCTGCGTCTTGCTTTTCCTCCATTCCTCATTGCTTTGGACCCTGAGTCGGTGTTTGAACCCCACAGCCTGGTGTGCCTGAAGACAACAGAGCTGGGCCTCGTACCAGGGTGAGTTGGAACCCCAGATATTGGACGTAAGAGGGAATTTTGCCATTGTCAACCCTGTTTGGAACAAACACCTTATAAGGTGCCCCTAGGTACAAGAATAAATATACCAGTCAAGACCACAGTGTATTTGCTGTTTCTAGTCACTGGTTCGTTTCCCCTTGGATACTGTTTGTTTGTGGTGTGTGTGTGAGCACATGAGTGTGTACCCCTGGTGCCTGGTGGTAGACTGCCCTGCCGCAAGTCTGCTCCCCCGGCCTTCTCATTAGACCGCTTGTAGGACGGCCGAGGTCCTACTCAGGGTACATCCCCTTCCCAGGTCACCTGAGGAAAGTCGCCTGCCCCAGATGGACAGCGGCGGAGGTGACATCGGGACACGCCACAATGTACATGTACACTGTACATGTTCAGTAGTTCAGTAGTGATGTGCAAGTTCTACATGGTGTAAATGACAGACATGTTTGATCCTGCATATTTTGAAGAATAAAGATGCCATAGTACTACTCATCTGAGAGTAGAAGTATTTGGGTACAATTAATGTCAGAGATAAATATTAGTAAAAAGCTTGAATTTATCTGAAGGTTGTAAGTGTTGTAATAGATGTTAGAGAGTGCCTCAGAAGTCAGAATGCTAAAGAACGTTCCACATTGCCTGTTGCCATATAAAAGACCTACCGAGTCCGGTGCTTGCTCTCAAATCTTGTACAAGTATGTTTCTGCAAGAGTAACAATGTCTTCATGTGGGGAATTGAACAAATTCCCTGCAGGGAAAATGCAATTTTCCACAAAGGAATGTTCAAGGAACAACTGGAACATTTCAACTTTGGAGATGTTTTCACCAACTTAAATTCCCTTTGGAAAACAGTAGCAAGAAAGTGTGGAAAGAATTTGAACACCATTTTAAAAGAACACAGTAATATTATTTTTTAAATTTTGGTTTTACACATAGCTGTGAATTTCATCTGTGATAATCCTGCCATCAAGGCCATCTCTTTTGTGGGGTCTGACCAGGCTGGTATCTATATCCATGAACGAGGCAGTCGGAATGGTAAAAGAGTGCAAGCCAATATGGGTGCTAAGAATCATGGTGTCATCATGCCAGATGCTAATAAAGAAAACACCCTAAATCAGGTCAGTGCCTCAGTAACCACTTTAATTTGATTAATAACAGCTTAAATCACAGATTTGGAGACGTTTCGTGGTGAACTTGATGTGGTTACATGTATGTTGACTTTTGAGGTGGTTGAGGAAACTGTCAAATTTCCTCTTTGCCATGTCACCAAACAACAAAAGTGTCATCAACATATGTGGACCAAACGACAGGTTTCAGAGGGTATGATTCTATGTCCTTGGCCTCAAAGTGGTCCATGAACATGTTAGACATGATAGGAGACAGGGCTGAACCCATAACTTGACCATCTTATTTGCAAGCCTCATGGCTTGAAATATCATTTGCAAAGCCCTAAGCAATGATCCAACCCTTAAGCAAAAGACCAGAATGTTGTGGTAAGATGTTGTTGATGTTACCAAAATGTACCTCACTTTCCATATACTTAGAGTGGCAAGAAAAGTTCCATGAGCAAAAAAATGGTCAAGCTTTGGGTTCACCCTTGTTTCCTATCCTGTATCTCCTTTCCTCATCAAAATACTACATGTCAGCCAAGAACAGTGTTATTAACACACTAGTCCACAGAGTTCTTACACTATGCAATAAAGCCAACCAACAAGGGGGAGTGGGAGTTGGGACCTCACAGTCACACAAGTTAAGAGATATTCTAAGCCACCTCAAAGATCCATTACCTAAAGATCACTCCCCTTGTGGATACTCCATCCCATGTAGCTTTAGTGAGCAGTACATAGGGCAAACTACTGACCCCTAAACACAAGATTGTCAAGACACAAAACAGCTACTGAACATGCAACGCAGGGTAGAGGACTCGACATTAGCCAAACATACACACAAGAAGGGACACATACCTCTACGGGACAAATCTAGGAGTTCAGCCAAGGTCAGTCATCAAGTGATGAGACTGATCAGAGAATTGCTTGAGAGCAGAGGTAATGAGGCTTCCACAATCAACAGAATGGGTGGCAAGCAAAGATCGTATAGCAGCGCATAGCGGCGCAAGATGGAGAACTTCACCATGAATACATGTAAAGCAACGTAATCACATGGGCACCATTTGAGCAAGCGATACGCCTGCGCAGTGCACATTAATGCACAGGCACGTGCACCTGGTGCATTACCGTGAACCGTGCAGGCGTATCGCTTGCTCAAATGGCGCCAATGGTGATTACACCTTTTGGGCAGAGTTACCCATCTTGCGCCTCAGCGCTATATGATCTTTGGTGGCAAGGATTATTACTCAAACACAACAAGTCAGAGCCGATCTCTACTGCATCAGCAATGCTTACCACTTCAACTGCATGCTTCTCATGACATTCTTTAATATTAATTCCGCTTTTTGTTTTTACTCCTAACATCAGTCCCAATGATGTCGTAGCCACTTCTGAAGAAAGCTTGACACCTTTCAAACTCCAGTGGCATACTTCAACCTTATGATCATCATTTCTTACAGTTTACTCGTGTCAAGACTGGCTTCTCACTCTAGTTTAGAGAGAGATTAGGATGAAACAGATCACTCAGTGTCATATGGGGAGCCATTTTATTATGATCCAATGGTACTTTCCACCTTAGGTGACATTAGAGCCAGAAAAGTTTACAGATTCACTCATAGATCCTTATTATTTAAGCAGACATACATGTACATGTAGTGGTCTGAAATTACCTTGTGTATATTTTTCTTTAAACCTTTTCTCTGTCTCTCTCATTTCTCTAATTTCTCCTTACAGTTCCCACCAGATCTAAGATTTCTTTGCACCATTTTTACTTTTTGGGGTTTCCTTATATGGATGAGTGGGCATACCATCATTGTTCTTGCATTGTGCCATTCCATATTAAACATATTTCCTCATCAATGTATTGTGTTTCTCCTTACAGCTTTGTGGTGCCGCTTTTGGGGCAGCTGGCCAGCGATGCATGGCCCTGTCTACTGCTGTCTTTGTTGGTGATTCCCAGGAATGGATCCCAGATCTGATAGAAAGAGCCAAGAAATTGAAAGTCAATGCAGGTAAGGAATAAATTCAAGATAACACTGAGGTCCAGAATCTTTTATCTAACTTTTAGGCCAGAACAATGAAAAAGTAGATAGAGATTAGAGTCAGTGATTTTCTGTTGCAAAAACAGGTTTTTTTCCTTTTCGCTAAATCCCAATTTCCACTTCAGAAATTCAAATTCTGTTTCATACCTTAGTAAGCATGATAAAGCAAGTTTTAAACTATACATGGAAACTATTTTCTCAACCATACTTCCCCACCAAAAAAAAAGAAAACAAAACAACTATTGGTTGGAAATATGCTGCGATGTTGCCAATTTTTTAAAACATTTTCTGTAGTGAAAATTAGAAAACAAAAGTCCACACAATAAATATGGCATTCTCCCTTGATTTCCCACCAGCACTGTCTTGAAAAACTTGCTACTTGATTAATCAACGGACAATTCATGTGTCACTCCTTGTGTATGAAATCATAATGTACAGCACATGTAGAGTGAAGTCATAGAGTAGGTCTTCCATGCAACAGTCATTGATCACATTATGTTAACCTCTTGCCTCTGGGGTTCCTGGTACTGGGTACCTTGGGATTGTACGCATAGCCGGGGTGCCCAAAATCGAACAAAGGAGCTGGGCCTTGTAACAAAAAACTGTACTCGGAACAAAAGACTGAGCTGCTGGGAATTGCCATCAATTTTCAGCTAGCATTAGTGGAGGTAATCAATCTTTGTTTTGAAACAGTAGACACTGTTTGTGGCATTCAGAACTGCAGATTATCAGCGTGGGCGAAAGAGCTCCAGCACTCCAGCTTTAAGCGATACAGTACCGTTGCACGCTAATGTGGCCGCATTTGAAGTGGGCCTATTTCGGAAACAAAGGAAATTAGGCAACACTGCACAATCTGGGCTCTCTTTACTGGATGGGAGGCCTGGCTGCAATACTTGGCGTCAATAGAGGTTGCCTGTCAGATTAGAGTAGCCACCAGACAGTCATTCGTGTGGGTGTAAGCATCCAGTAAATGAAGTTATGAATTTTTAAAGAATTTTGAAAACGGGAAATTTTGAAAACCCCTCGGGAACTCATCCTGGATATGCAAATTGCTGGTGGCAGGAAGTGGTCAATGTTGGACGTTGACCCGTCATTTTATCTGGCAGTGATGCGACAAAATTCAGAAAGTTAACATAAAATCTGAGCCTAAAAACGCATATTTGTGACTGAAAACTTTGCTCTTTATTGAACACTTCAAGGGCCCATTCTGCTCTGGTACAGCAAGCTTGCTAGGTTCTGTTTAATTCAAGAAATATGTAATTAGCCTTCCATTATGCTGCCATGGTTTGATAATTTCACCATGGGGTACTAGCCTTGTCTCAAGGTGTCTATGCATATTCACAGACTGAATTCCTTATGTGTGCAGTAAGAGCAGTAAGCATTATGTGTAAGAAATGGTTTGCGTCTTGATTACACTGCTAGTACGGTGGATGTGTGAAGGGCCAGTGTGTGTACACTGCTAGTACGGTGCATGTGTGAAGGGCCAATGTGTGTGCCGCACCGCTGCGCTGTGCCAGCCACTGCTGCTTGGGGCTCATGCCCGTCATAGTGCTGGCAAGTGTTGGCACTGGTGCGAATGACCCAACCATGTGGTAGAGTGGTGCAATTTAGTGTATTTCCAGCATAATTCATTCATTAAAAGCAGGCATTTTAAAAGGCTTCGGTACGTGCAGGCATTTATTTATACTAATTTATACTAAGTTTTCTTTTTTAAAGCTGTTCTTAGTGGGAAATTTTGCAAGTTCCATTTCAAGCAGTGGATGTTTCCATTTCAAAGTGTTCCTTCCACGAATTCAGTCCGTTTTCTGTGATCTATCAAAGTCCACAAGTTGCCAAAGATTTTACTAGTATCTCAGTCATCATGCTTTACTATTCCACACATCTCAAGTCATGTTTTTGAGTCATTGAACTGATTGACTATGCAATAGTCATTCCATTCTGTGATACCTTTTTATGACATTGTTCAGACATTGGGGAAAAAGTCCTCATTACCATGCAGCATACTTTGTCATGAGCAGTGTGCATCATGAGTAGTAGGCATTTGAGAGTTAGAGACCAACTTTCCCCTCTTATACCTACCCCACCCCCTCTCTCCCTACCTACTCAGGACTTCCACTACCTACCCTACCCAAAAACCGAAAAAATTTCCCTTGTATACCTACCCGACCCCTGCCTTTGACCTCACAAAACTAGTCATGGTGAAATCTAACCTGGGAGACCAGATCACAGTGCCGTTGCCAGAATTAGAGGCACACTTAGTGGTGAAATCTAACGCGGGAGAATAGGCCGGGCATTTGATTTTGATTGTTAGAAAAAAAAGAAAAAATTTCACGACTTTCACGCCGAGAGTAGAAATGTCAAACAAAAAAACCAACGTCGATTGTTACTTTTGCAAAAACACAAGTCAATCTGTTAACGTGATAGATGCTTCTGATTCCAAAAATTGTTTAAACTCTTTTCATATCAATTGATGTAACGATTGTGTAGATTGCAAATATTGTAAGTCTTGCACTGAATGTACTGTAGAACTTGCAGTGGCTGTGAAAACTGTTTTAAGTGTGAAATTTGCACCGATTGTGAAAGCAGCAATGACTGTACAAACTACGTAATGTGTGAAGATTGTAAAAATTGCCCAAAAGCGACGATTGTGAAAGATGTAACGAATGCGAGATCTGTGCTGATTGTAAACAATGTATCAGTTGTCATCATTCTGATAATTGTGAGTGCTGTGAAAACTGTATCCAATGTACACCATGATGTAAACTCTGTATCGATTGTGAAAGCTGCAACGATTGTTTTTGTGGCATCAACTGCCCAGATTTAATTGGTGAATCTTATCTAGTATTTGTATACGGCAACGAGAGCAGCTATGGTTCTTACTAAAAAAATGAGATTAGAACACCAAACGATCCCGAGCCAGAATCTTACGTGGATGAAAAAGTAAAAAAACTGGGCTGAATAATTGAACTCGACAAAGAAGTGGACATAACTTATAATTTACCAGCAGCACCGTTACCCGCAGACCAATTCACATGCTTAATAGACATGGCAAATTAAGCTGGAAAAATGAAAAATATTTACTCTACCAAACAATCAGTAAATGTTGCTTGCAATGTTTAACAAGAAGCAGACATAGAAATTATTGCAAACATGAACGATATAAATACAATTGTTTGGAATGCAGGCCTCCATGTACAAAGGAAATAGCGCGTAATGTGAAAGGTTATATACCACAGGACCTTTCTTGCGAACATAAAAACATAAGTCTAATTGAAGAATCTGCACGCGTAGAAAATATCCACGTAAAACTACCGAATCAACTTGCTTATAGAATGTAAAATAACCTCCTCTAAAATTAGAGAAGGAGGTTTAATTTCACCTTGTCCTCTAAAATTAGAGAAGGAGGTTAACAAAAAAGATTAAATAAATCTTATAAAAAAGACAAATATATAAAGGTGAACAGAAATGCCAAACTACAACGTCGTCCTGTGTTATCAGACTTTAATCATATTTAAAAGTCATTTGTTATCCAACTTCGTCAAGCGACATAACATACCATTACCTCCACCTGCTCGAAAGGGCCATACGAAACCAGAGGTCATACATGCAATTCAAGCAAGCCAGCATTTTTTTAGAAACCTGCAATGCAAAACTTACCGTCAGCTCTTACAGGTAGCGCAAGACGATATACCCTGTATGACAACAGGTGCAAACGGAAACGTGCTTCGAAAAGATTTCATTGCCACAATTAAAGCCTACACTCAACCGGAAGCGATTGCAGAGTGTAGAAGTGTGACTCTCAAAATACATGGGACAGAGACTGTCAGTTTTATACTCCACTCTCTCTTAAATTAATTTATTCCTTAATTATTC